GCTTGCAGGCTTGGTCCCCAGCCCCAGTGGGGGTGTGTGCAGGAAGCAACCAAAAGATGTGTCTCTAGCTCACATCGATGTTTCTCTCTCTCTATCTCTCCCCTTCCCTTACACTCTCTAAATATCAAAGGAAAAATATCCTTGGGTGAGCATTAACAACAAAAAAATACATAGTAATTTTTTTTTAAAGAAAAAGAAATGAGGTTACTTATAGAAAAACAGATTACATAAGGACTTGTAACCATGGTAAAGCACTATTCTATATAGATCCCCTAGCAATAAGCTGCATTCACTAAATAATATATATACCCAGTGTTTTTCTTCCTTGAAATCTTATATACAATTTAATACACACACAATCTTCACAAAACAATTATAATACTTTGTGCCAGGGCTAGCAGCATCTTGCACTGTGCCATTTCGATATTCACATAAGCATTTTATTTAGCTACAAGTGTTTGTTAAAGGCAGAATGAACTAAGCAATAATCTATACAAAGGTAAAGAGACTAAATTTTTTCTTCTTGTTGTTTTTTTTTTGCTACAAATTTGAAATTTGTCACTCCTTCTACTACCATTCTGAACATCTCTCACTCTGGAATGATTTAAGAACCTCCTGTTTTTCCTGTTTCTACTCTTACCCTCTATGGTAGAATAGCTAGTGGTTCTTTTACAGTATTTATTTTATCTTTTTTAAAATATATTTTTATTGATTTCAAAGAGAAAGGGAGAGAGTGATAGAAACATCAATGATGAGAAGCATTGGGCTGCCTCCTGCATGCCCTCTACTGGGGATCAAGCCTGCAACCCAGGCATGTGCTCTTGACTGGAATTGAACCCAGGACCCTTCAGTCCGCAGGCTGATGCTCTATCCACTGAGCAACTGGCTAGAGCAATGAGTCCTTTTTGTAACTGTTGCTCAGCTCTTATCACACACTCTTGCCAATTTGTCTAGCCTTTTCCTACTATGATCTACTAGTCCTGCCACCCTCTGCTTGAGTATTTTAGAATCCAAACTTCAAAAAATTTATAGCATTTTTACTAAGTCACAAATAATCAAGTCTTGCCACCTAAAATATCTTCATTACCAAATTATATAATTATTCTTGACTCCACAATATGTAAGCTGAAATAGGCAGGAACCACATCACCAGGTTGTATAACAAAAAAGCACACTGACTAGACTCCTTCAGAAGACTGAGGTTGCAGGCTGGCCAATTACTAGTTGTATGACCTCTGATTTTTACTTTTCAAATCTGTAAAATGTAAATATTACCTCATTTCTACCTGTATCACAGGGTTAAACAGATTCAAAACAATAATACATGTGGAAAGCACACTGGAAACTCTAATGCTATATAAATGTAAGGTCATTATTACTCATTTGTATCTCCACAGCAATCAGTACAAAGCTGAGATGCTTAAAAAATATTTAACTGAACAGGTATAAGCACATTTCCTATAGTATAAATTATCTGCTATTATGGCGTTTATCTTACAGTTAAAGGATTGAAAAACAAAACAGTCGATTGTATGAACAAAATTAAAGATAAGAAAATAATAGAAAGTGATGGAGGGGCAACACTGGGAACAGGTAAGACTGCTCTTAAACTGTGATACTTTCAGAATTTTTTTTTCCTTTAGGTTTATTGAATAAATATAACAACCCAACTATTAAGAGAACATCTTTCTTTTGGGGAAAATCTATGATCTCAAAGATCTTACTCATAATGAAAGGATAGAAATTATTTAGCTGGCATCTTGATTTTTCTTTTATATTGAGAAAAAATTGTCCTAGTAAGAAGTAAGGGTGACCTAGCCGGATTGGCTCAGTGGGTAGAGCATTGACCTGCGACCTAAAGGGTCCCAGATTCGATTCCGGTCAAGGGCACATGCCCAGGTTGCAGGTTTGATTCCAGTCAAGGTCACATGCCAAGGTTGCAGGCTTGATCCCGTGGGAGGGCATGGGGGGGGCAGCAAATCAATGAGTCTCTCTCATCATTGATGTTTCTATCTCTCTCTCCCTCTTCCTTCCTCTCTGAAATTAATAATATATATATTTTTAAAAAGGGTGGGTATTTAATCAAATCCAGCAAGGTTAACAGTTCTGCCACATGAAACAAGTTTCCAAAGGGTCCAAAAAAGAAAGAAGAGAGATAGTTTGATGTATGAGAAGTATTCAGACAATAATGAAGATTAAGTCTACTAACCAACAGGAATAGAAGACAGTAAGAAAAATAATAAAGTCCTACATTAAAATATCCCTTCAATTTCTTTAGAACAGATACCAGCATTTAAAAAGAGTAAGAAAGAAAAACCATAGAAAAGATTAAGTAAATGGAATGGTTAATAAACATCTAAATTGGAGGGGAGAAATGGCTGAATGTAGGCAGATTCTAACCGTAGCTCTTGCTGCACGTTTTCCTTACCTCTTCTGCTGTACTAACATGTCGCCTCTGAGTTTTCTTGGGGCTCAAAAGGTTTCGACGACATGAACCACTCCAAGATGGACTTGGAACAGATTTAATAGGAAAAGATTTTTCATATGCAGACACGTGGCAGTGATGGTTTGACTTTCCCGTAAAACTGTTTGATAATCCACTAAAACAAAACAAAACAAAAAAAAACGTTTGTAAGAAAATCTAACCCAGATATTATTCCACTTTCAAGAAATAACAACAACACCACAAAAATTAGCAGGTAGAATGACAGATATACCACTTAAGGGAAATATACAAAAAATGATATATGGGTTGCTGCATCAGGTTCTGCCACTTAAGAGGTCTTAGATTGCCAAACTATAGAATTCTCAAACACCTAAAATTGTATGTCTCAGCTTTAGGATCTATAAGTTCCTTTAGTCAGGAACTACATACTTGTGTGGTACAACAGAAAGCAGATATTAGACCCCTTTAAAAAATCTGAGTTCTAGGTATACTAACATACACAATATACTTCCTTTTTACTCCTCACATCCCCCTGCCCCAAGACCTTTGGAGGGAATTATTTTAAGCTTAAATTTGCAGAGATGGATAAAACCAAAGCCTCTCAACAAAGCTTTTAAACTGAATTTTAACATTTCCTAAAACACCAACAGAGGGCTCCCATCCTTCATTAAAAACAACCAGATGCTTTTATTAGACTATAACACTCTCTGTGAACTCTCCTCTGGCCTCACTGTGTCCCTCCTCTGAAGGAAATTTTGTTTTTGCTTCTCTATATTATTTGCACCCCCAAATAATGTGAAAAGTTGGCAGCAAAAATAGTTTTGTAAACTCAAACCCAGTCTTATCTCTAAGGACAGGTAAATAATTTAAAATTTTTAAAAATTTGCTCTTTCTCCTTTATTGTTACCAAACAAGTCTTAAGTATTTGCTATCAATATAATGAATTTTCTTTCCTTTTCTTTTCTTTTTTTTTTGCTGAGAATGCAAAATAGAGTTACAGAGCTGACTAAACTGAATTCAATAAAATCAACTCTTTAAATCAGTATATGTGGTTTAGGCACAAATGAATCAGACTAGGTCTAAAGAAAATAAAAAAACACATATACTCTAACTCTTCAAAGTCTAATGATTTCTATGTGTGTTAGAGTAGAGAAAGGAGCAAGGACTCAGAATTTCAGGAAGTGGCTTATTTTCTTAGTACGGGTGGATGCAGCTAAGAAAAGATGGCAAGGATGATATAATTTATTTGGTGAAGATATAATGAATTCCCCTCAATGTCTTTTGTGTTTATGCTTCCTAGAGAGTGTAGTGTATCTGTGCTTTTAATAAAAGATTTTTTTCTAAAGAAACAGTAGAAGGGCATCTTGAAATGCCAGACAGCAAGTGTACTACCAACAATTAACAATGTTGGGTCAGACACAGAAGTAAGCTTGGACTCCCACTGCTAAAGTTGCAAGAATGTAAGCATCAAAAAATGATTATAGTGCATTAAAACACACTAAAGCCATAGTGACACTAAAAAAATAAAAGAACAAAAAATATATATATTTGAACCACTTGAAGTGGCTATTAAAATAAACTTTCATGCCCTAACTGGTTTGGCTCAGTGGATAGAGCATCGGCCTGTGGACTCAAGGGTCCCAGGTTCGATTCCGGTCAAGGGCATGTACCTTGGTTGCGGGCACATCCCCAGTAGGGAGTGTGCAGGAGGCAGCTGATCAATGTTTCTCTCTCATTGATGTTTCTAACTCTCTATCCCTCTC